TTTTCTTTAAATTTATAAATCCAGAAATCATTTGATTTCTCAAATCGACTTAAATCTTCAATTAATACCTTTAACGGAGCTTCATTATGAATTAAATTCATTTTTAAAAAAATTATAATCCTGCTTATTACATTTTATTATTATAATAAAATCTTATTTTGCGCGCCAAAAAGACATCTTAGATTATTAAGTCGAGCGGCAAAAAGATTATTGCGGCAAATTATTTTATTGTTAAATAGAATATAACTGTTATGGTGAGAATTAAAAAACGTTATTAAAATCTCTTGAGTCTTTGTAAAAAAAAAAGAAAAATGTATTCTTTTATTTGAAGAAAATTTATTAATATAATAATATACGGAGCATGGATTTAAATACATTTAAATAATAATGGAAATTTATGAAAAGTTGAAAACAATAAAAGTAATATGAAAATTGTAATTGTTGGAAGCTTAATAAAAGTATGTAACTAATTCATTTTAAATAAATAATAATTTTTAATAAAAATGTAATAATATAGAGAATTAAAAAATAAAGTTTAACATTTAAATAATATAGAATATTACTATAAAACAATTTTGTTTAAAAATTGCATTCAGAGAACTAAAAATCTTCTGTCAATTTGAAATGATTAAAAAAAAATTTTCAATGTAAAACAAAGAAAATTGAATTTTAAACAAAAAAATTAATTTTTTAAATTGTTTTACATCAAAATAATTAATATAAAAATAATTTTAGGGTCATACATTGTTCTTTCTATCACAAAAAATTAAAAAAGAGATATATATATATTACAAGTACAACTTCAAAAAATAATAATAATAATATTGGAAAATGCAAAACATGTATTAAAACATTTCAAAAAATTTTTTTTTATTTATAAAAAATTTTAGAGAGAGCAATAATAAACTATAGAATATATAAAATGGGGAAAAAAGGTATAAAAATTCGTTTAAAAAAAATTTTTTTACAACATTTTAAAAAAAAAAAAAAAAAAAACGTTTTTAGTAATAAATATTAAATGTTTTCCAGCAGTATATTATTTCAATAAAAATTTAAATGCTTATGTGCACTGGTGGGGAAGGGAAACAAAAAAATTTATTTATTTTAAATAATATGAAACTTTTTAGGGGCGTACCACCAAAGTTCTCTTGCTTTTTTTTTTTTTTTTTTAAATTTTATTTTAAATCAAATTTTTAATAAAAAAATTTCTCAGAAAAGTAAAACAATAGTGAACAATAACAAATATTATTATTATTATTTATTTATTTTAGGGATGTCCTTTGAATAATTCTTGAAATACTTTTAATATAAATAATTTATTATTGATTATTTGATCAATAAAATTATTTTATTTAATATTTTATCAAGCCCATAATAAGTTCTTAAAAAAAAATAAAATAAAAAACTTTTCCACCAAAACCTCAATAAAAAAAATATATATTATTATTATTATTATTAAAAGTTTTAATTAAAACTTTTGCAATTATTTTATTCATTAAAGAAAATTTTTCTTCTTTATTAATTTATTTAATGGTCATGACATTAATTAGTTATTATTATTATTATTAAATAAAATACCAAATAAAATTTTTTATTTTTATTTTTAATAAAAGGAAAACAAATGAAAAACAAATAAATTTTATACTTGAATAATTTTTGTTTTTGAAAAATATTTATTTATTTATTTTAAAAAGAAAAGAATTTTTTTTTTTTTGAAAAATATTTATTTATTTATTTTAAAAAGAAAAGAAATTTTTTTTTTTTTATAATTTGATTTTAAATAAATAATAATTTAAGATTTTAACAATTTTTAACAAAGAACTACAAAAAATATACATAATTTATTTATTTTAATGCATTTGTTTAAAAAAAAAAATTTTTTTTTTGTTCTTTTTATTATTTAAAAAAGTCATAAATTTTATTTTACTTTAGGTAATAATAATAATAATAATAATAATAATAAAAATATGGTTCAAAAAAAAATTAATAAATAATAATAATACATTAAAGGTTTTAAAATATTCATTAAATAAATTTTTTAATGTTATGGATTGTGTTAATCATTCAAATATAATTAAATAAAAAAAAAGTAAATTTTAAATTATTTATATATTAACAAGGCATTTTTAATAATAATAGAAAAAAGAATGAAAAAGAAAAAAATTTTCTTAAATTAATTAAAAACAAGGCAGCTTTTCCTAAAGTTTATGGAAGCGGCCATTTTGATTTAATACAACTAACCTAATTATTGAGCAATTTTTCATTAAAAATTATTCATTTTTAAAAAATGAATGAATTATTTATATTATTTACAATATTATTAAACATTTACATAATTTTTTTACACGCACACACACACAATAAATGTTTTTTACAATGTAGTTTTATCGTTTTCAAACATGTTATGAACTTTCATTTTGACTTTGTTACAGCGTGAAAAATATCAAACGTACGAACTTTGCATATCCGTTGGGGGACCGATACGAGGTACGTTTTCGGTAAATAAATTTATTTTAAAAACTTTTTCAAACGTTTGACGAAATTGACGACTCATGAAACAATAAAGTATAAAATTTATAGCGCTGTTTACGAGTGCTAATATATCCATTATTTCTCCAAATAAATTATAACAGTTACGGAAAAAACAAGTGCCCAATATTCCACTCAACAATCCTAAAATACCTGTGAAAATTCGTGTGCTTACTCAAAAAAAGTGTAAAAGAAAATTTTTTTTTTTCTTTTATATTTCCCACTCAAAATAGTGGCAATAAAAAAAAAAAAAAATAATAATAATGAATCGTACCTTGTGGTAATTCAGTAAGAAGGAAAAGTATTAAAATGGCGACCAACATTCTGGTTGTTCTGTCTGTTCTTTCTTTCGCCAAAATGACTCGTCTCTCAACGGAATTTTCATTATGATGAGTAGAATTTGCTGTTTTTAATAATTTGTTACGTTTGTTAATTTCGTAGAGAGCTTTAATTAATCGAATACTTATCACCGTCAAAATAACACAGGGTAACAATTTGATTAAAACTCCTGTAAATTTATTCATTCATTTTTCATTATGACGTAATCAATAATTTTTTATTTAGAAAATTTTCTTACCGTAAGTCCAAAACGTGACGTTGCACAACAATTGATCGTTTTCTTTGGCAACATCACTTAAATCTAAATGATACAAATAAATTTCAGCTGAATTTTCAGTTATTCTCGTTGTTTTTATGTAGAAAACAAAATAGGACGGTATGCAGAGAATTAAAGGTAATACAAAACTCGTACCGATAGCCACGCGACATCTTGGACCCGTGCACCAAGTTATGCTTTTATGCGGGTACCTAAAAATCAAATGATTTGTTTTTTTTTTTTTTTAATTTTTTAAGGGTAATGTACAAAACATTTACAAAGGTAACGATAAATACTACCGAATGGCTATATACCGCCATACCGCCAATGCAAGAGTTAAACATATTGAAATCGTATGAATTATTTGAGAAAAATGTACGTGAAATAAAATAAAAACTGCCCAAGAATATGGAAAATTTCTTTGTCCCGGAAAAATTAAATACATGTAAACGGAAAATGGAATGTATTCGAGCATAACCAATACATCTGCAACAGCTAATCCGGTTAAAATTCTATTAATGGGATTTGTAGCCATTTCTCTTCTTGTTAGAACTGCAACGTTAATGAGATTTGCTATCGTTCCAAAAAGGCAAACCATGAGACTCAGGTACCTGAAGGGTAAAAAAAAAAAATTTTTTTTTATTAATTCATAATAATAATATTTCTTGTTTTACTAAAGTTTATCCGGTTAATAAAAACAATTTAAATTTAATTTATGCAAAATAATACTTAAATAAAAAATTATTATTATTATTAAAATCTAATTAATTTTACATTGAAAAAACTTAGCAATTCAATTCATCTTGCGTGCAAAATAAAAATAAAAAATAAAAGTAAATTTTTTTTTTTTAATAAAATTAAATAAAAAAAAAGTAAAAAAATAAACGATTTACAATAAAACAAAATAATAATAATAATAAAATTTGCGGATGATGAACAAAAATAAAAATAAAAAAAAGAAAGTCGTAAGAAAATTTTCAAAAGACTTTTTTCTTTTTTCTTATTTTAAATTTAATTTATTAAGTCGAATAAAAACTTTTTATAAGTTTAGGTAAAAAAAAAAAAATAAAAAGAGAAAAAGAGAAAAAGGGGGGGCGGGGAAAAGAATTTTAAATAAATTTCATTAAGATTTTGGGTAAAAGTTTAAATTTTCTACCGTTAATTAACATTAAAAGCTTAACTAAATTTTTTAATTGAAACAGTAATAATAAAACAAAAAAAAAAGAAAAGAAAATTAATTTTTATGTTAAAAATAAGGTTTTAATGATTATTACAAATGGCGTTGTTAAGAAAAGGATTTTAATAAAATTTGGTATGAAATAATAATAATAATAATACGTAAATATAGTTTGGATTGATGGAAAACATTAATGTCGTCGTTGTCTAAGTTTTGATTATAGAAAGGCTGCCTATCATGAACACAAAAGAGGCGTTATTTGGCTTCAAAAGGGTGAAACTTCAAAGGGATCCTTCTAAAAGAAAGAGGCCACGTTATCAGAAAAGAAAATACTAGACAAGAAGTTCTGGAAATATTAAAAGTAAAGTTGATGACCATTTTCCATGTAAAAATAATATCGCCATATTGTAAAATAACATTGAATAAACAAAACCGGATGTTAAAGGTAATGTCAAAGGTCACTGCACTCATCCAACAAAAAAAAAAAAAGAAAAATTGTTTGGCATCTTTAAAGTACATGACATTAGTCATAAACTTTTTCGATGCCAATTTTTTTTTTTTAATTTTCCTCAAATAATAATAAAAAATTATTTTAATTATTTTTTTTTTTATTAATCGAGGATTTTTTTTTTTTTATATAAAGGAAAATTTTTATAACAAATAATATTTTTAATGTTAAAAAATTTACGTACGTACCCGTGAACATCTTTGTAACCGTTGGCAAAAGCTTTTAAAGTTCCATCACAATATTTATCTGGATCGTATAAACAAATTTCTCTCGGTGCAAGTATCAAACCTCGAATTGTATCGTTTGGAAAATGCATTTTAAAAAATCTATAAAGATCTTCTTCTGTTAAATTCATGCTCTGTATGAATTTTCTTAAACTTTCATAACTGAGATTAGGATTAAAAAAAGGAAGCGTCGTCGTCGTCGTCGTCGTCGTGGTCATCGAATACTCCATCATTAATTTTTTTTTTATATGACGTCACCTTTTAGTATTTTAAACTCGTAAATCGATTTTTTTTTTAATTTAAAAAAAAAATTTTACGCCATTTTTTTTTTCAATTAATTATTTCCGGTTTACATGATTTTATTGTAAATATCATAACGATCGAATTTTCCTAAAATTTTCCTAGAAAAATTAAAATCATTATATTAATAAATTTTTTCTTTTTTTTTTTTAGGGGAACAAGAAGTACTAAAAGTGTTTTAGTCAAATTTAGTGTTTAATTAATAATAATGATAATTAAAGTTTTAAACATAATTTTATTTAAATTTTCGCGAGTGAGAATTGTTTTAACAAGTTTATTATAGTAATTGTTTTGTGTGTGTGTTTATTATAGTAATTGTGTGTGTTTTATTACAAAAGTTTACGAAAATAATCCAATATGGGGGAGAGAGAGAGAAAGAAGGAAAATTTTGAAGAAAAGCCGAAGGATTCGGGTAAGTTTAATTTTTTTTTTTTTTCAAAATTACCGGAAAATGTCAAAAAATTCAAGACTAGTAAAAAAAATATTTTATTAATGATACTCGTATAAAAAGTTTCGAAACTATTTTATGGTTTTTTATTAAAAATAATAATAATAATAAAACAATTAAGAATTTTCTATATCCGGTTCGTAGTAGTATGTAAAAACATAAAATTTTCAAATTGAAATTTTTGCAAATTAATAAATTTAAATAACGAACGTGACGGTTTATTAATTTTTCAATATGGACGACAATAAAAGTTTTTTTTTTGAAACAAACACTTTATTAAACGTAATTAGAAAATTTTTTGTAAGAAAAAAAACGATTATGCGCATATAAATTTTAAAGACGCCATTTTTTTTTTTTTTTGGAAAATGAACGCAATGAAACAAATGTAAACATATTTTTTTATTTTAACAAAAATTTCTTTTTAAAATATATATATCGTGGGAAAAAGATTTAAAGTTTTATATCGTGTAAAGATTGAAAACCGGATGTCACAAATGTCCAAAATTTAAATTTTAAAAATTTTTATTACGTCAAAAAGAGATTTTTATTTACCGAATGTGGTTTAACACGAATGGAAAACTTTTTGAAATTCTAGAAAATTTTTTTTAAGGCTATTTATTTAACGTGCGTGTGCGTGTGCGTGATTTTTCTTTGCTTTGATTAAATATAAAGTTTCGTTGAAAAACAATTTTTTTTTCGGGGGGGGGGTACACAATTCTTTAATTTTAAAATTAAATGTTTTAAAAAGGTTTTTAAAAAATTATATTGATGAGTTTTGTTTGTTTGTTTTGTTTGAGTACCACGTGTGGTTCTTTCGAGAGTTTTCCATTCCTATGTTTTCATAGCGGATTGTTTTTTACTTATGTTCTTATGATGGAAAAAAAGGAAAATTTTCTAAAAAAAAAATGTTTTTATTCACTAGAAAAACTTTTTTTCTTTTTTTTTTTTTTAGCTGATTTTGAAGTTTTTCCCATTTTTTTTCTTTTCGATTCGAACTTAAAATTACATCAGTTTTTACAAAAAAAAAAAAATAAAGTGGTTTCTTTTTTGTGTCTTGTTTTAAAAAGAATAAAAAAAAAAAAGTGGTTGTTTGTCGATTCGGTCGATGGATAGATTAAAAAAGTAAAAAAAAAAAAAATTTTTCTCCCTCCCCACGTTTTTAAAAAAAAAAACGTTGGAAAAACCTTTTACGATTTTTCTTTTTTTTTTTTCCCATCGAATTTTTTTTTTTTACTCGAGGGTTTCGCATCATCAAATTTTTATATATTTTTTATTATTAAAAAAAAAAAGAAAGCGCACGAGAAAATAATTTAAAATTTTTTTTTTTTTTGCTTTTAATTCGAAATGCGGATAAGAATTTGGGAGAGAAAAATGGCGGAGATGATTTGTTAAAAAAAAATTTTCATTTAATTAATTTTTCGATGATGATTTTAAAACGCGTTGACACGTGAAAACACGTGACATATTATTATTAAATAATACGTTTTATAATATTTCAATTAAACAAAAAAAAAAAAAAAAAAAGAAAAAAGGAAAATTTTTGAATTCAAACTCAAATCTCTCTTTTATTATTATTATTATTATATTAAAACACGCCGTATTTTTTATAAAATACTTATTTTAATTATTTGTGTCATATTTATTCGAGCGTAAAATTTGTTTTGAAATATTTATTAAAAAAAAGCAAAACAAAACAAAACAAAATAAAAGAATGAATGAATGAAAAAATTGTCTGACGAGGGGATTAAAATTTTTTTTCATTTTATAAAAATTTCCAGACGGAAATACTTAAAATTTTTTAAGGCGATAAATAAATATAAGTAAAATTATTATTATTATTATTTTTTAGTACGGTTAAAAAAAATTCGGTTGAATAAACTTAAAGTGATTTGTGCTTTAATAAAAAAATTATAAGTTTTTTTTAATACTCGGTGATTTCCGTTTCCGTTTGTTTAAAAATTAAAAAAATAAGGAGAAGGGGTTTTTGTAAAAGGCGGTGAAAAAATCAAAAAATGTTTGACGATTTCAATTGTTATTTAAAAAAAAAGTAAAAATAAAAATGATGGCGTCACGTCTGGTCGCTTATGACGCCAGAACTCTTGTTCATTTCCTCTTCCGTCGAAACATTAATTCAGCAACCTTTTTTCCCATCGCTAAATTTCCACTTAATTGAGTATATTCCACTCGATGATGACAAAAAAAAAAAAACTGACGCTTTTTATCTTCTGCTACTGTTGTTGTTGTTGTTGTTGATGTCGACGCCGACTCCGCTACCGTTGCTGTTGTTGTTGTTTTTTAACTCTTTCAACTCATTTTTCCTCCTCTCACTCCCTCCTCGACGACATTATTTTCTCATTTTTCTCCTCTTTTTTTTATCTGCGTTTCGTTTATTATTATTATCATTATTATTATTATTATTATTGTTTCTTTTTCCTTTTTTAATTTGACAGCGGAATCCGTCGTTGTCGTCATCGTCGCAAAGTTTTTTTTTTCTTTAATCGTTTTAATTTAATTAAAACTTCATTAAAGCGAATCGTTAGTAATTTGTTCGAGTCTTCTCGGGTTTAAAAATTACAAATAATCGATTTAATCAATCAATTTTTATAACTGTTAGCCTTGAGTTCATCATGTTTATTATGTTGCAAACAAAACAAAACAAAACAAACAAACAAACAAACAAAACACAACGAAAATCTTTTTTCTTTTCTTTTATTTTTTTTAAACTTTAATTTTTTTTGCAATCCTTATTTTTTTTCTATTCCCTTTATTATATTTAATAAAAAAATTGTAAGATTTTTTTTGGGGGGTTTTGGGGGGTGGGGAAGGGGATGTAGATCAAGTTTTCGACAAAAAAAAAATTTATAATTCATTTCCAATATTGGAAAATAAAAAGTTTTAAATTTAAATTTAAATTAAACTGCAAAAAAAAATTTCGATATTTTAGTTATTATTTTTATTGACGTCATCATTTAAAAAAAAATCGTTAATAATTTGCAAAAAGCGAGTATAAATAATCATTCGAAACGTTTCATGTTTAATAATAATAATAATAGTAATAATAATAATAATAATAATAATAATAATAATAATAATAATAATAATAATAATAATAATGAATTAATAATGCATTTTATCAAATGAAAATAAATAAAAAATTAATTATTTTTTCAAACGTGTTTCCATCAATCAATGACTAAATTAAATTAAATTAACGTTTTCACGTATTTTTTTTTTTTTGGGGGGGGGGGAGAATTTTATTTGTAGTTTATTCTATACCAGGTTAAAAAAAAGGAGGAGGGGGGAAGGGAGAGAGAGAGGGAAATCTCACAATTCCTGGAAAAAATTTTAAATGTTAAAACAAGGAAAAATTTACGTTGGTTGAAAGTTTTTAACTTCCGTTAAAAAAAAAAGAAAAGTTTTTTGTTTTCCTTTAACGTTTTCTTTTTGTTTCTACCTTACCAGGTTTCTTTTTTTTCTTATGTTTTTTTCATTATTATTATTATTATTGTTTTCTTAGAATTACGGTTTTTTTGTATATACATTAGAATAATTATAAAGGAAAAGGAAAAGAAAACAGGAAGTTGTTTTACGGAATTATCCTTTAAAATTTTTAATTATTAAAATCTCATTAAGTATTATTTTGTTTTTTTTTTTTTTTTTTTTTTTTAATTTAAAAAGTTCAAATTGCACGATAATATTTTATAAATTGTTTATAAAGTTTTTTTTTTTTAATGAAAAACGACGCGAATCATGAAAGAAACATGGCGGACCGTATTCTTCGTAGAATGTTGTTGTACCTTTAAAACAACAACCGGGAAAAAAATATTTTACGGTTGTCGCATCGGAAACAATCCCTACAACGATATTTTTATTATTAAAAAAATAATAATAATAATTAAATTAATAATTTTTTTTTTTTTTGAAAGACTTCTAATGAAAATCGATTGAGAAAAGGAAACGAATCGAATTTTTTATTTTTTATTTTTAATTATAATTTTTATTCTAGTTACACTTCATTAATTTATATTATTGCCACTTTTATCATTATTATTATTATTATTATTATTATTATTATTATTATTATTTAATTTTAAAATTAAAAAATTTTTTAAATAACTTATTTTCTATTTTTTTAATTTAATTTAAGAAACAAACAGAGAAAGAAACCACAGAGTTTGTGTTTTAGTTATTTTTCCTAATTCTTATTCTCTATGGAAAATTAAATTTAAATTTCTATTAACATGAAATAAACAAGAAGGAAGCGTTTGAAAAAATTTAATTTAAAAATAAAATGATTGGATTTGACGTATGAAACATATAGGTGACGTTAATTTTTTTATAATTTTCACGAGGTAGTTTATTATTATTATTTATACAAGTTTAATTTATGGTAAATACCGATTCGTTTGACGTCACGAAACTGTCGTTTTCCACGAGGTTTAATGACACTTTTCCGACATAATATAAAGTAATTGTTGTTAA